TAAGGCCGCTGATGAAGATCATCGAAGACTCTGGCAGAAGTGACAGCATCTTCACACACTTCGTTCGTTTGGGGTAGGTGATGCCGGCAATGGCTAGTTTGGCGTAGAGGTCCTTGAGCCTATCTAGGACGGGCTGAACAGGTTCTCCTTCACTCAGACGCAGAGTGGAGAGCTCTCTCTTGAGCATGAGGGTGGCTACAACTGAGGTTGGTGCATGAAGTGTCGTGATACTAGCATAATAGGTAATGAGAGAATAGGACGGCCTAGGCTTAGTAGCCTAGGCCAAGGAGGATCGAGTGAGTTGTGCCAAGGGAGAGTCGAGAAAGTTGGGAATCAATGTGTTCACTATAGGTTTGCAAGAACATATAGGATGTGAACAGAGAAAGGTGCACCACCTAACAAAGTTTATGATAACTACACTAACTACAGCTACAGGCAGTTACATATATTAATTCTGACATGAAGGTCCTTGAGCACGGCCCACACCTTGGGTCCGCACTCATCCTCAAGGAGTAGGCGCATTATATGCTAGCGTTGGGCGATGTCTAAGCTCTGAGAAAGGATATTATATCCAGCTGATGAACGTTCATCCCAATCGCCCTGAAGCTCCGGATCGCTAGGGCGCTTTTCACTGTTAATAATGACTTTGAGAAGTCCTATCTGCCGAAAATAAAGCTGCATCTTCTAGGACCAGTCGTCGTGCCGTTCACCACTAAATTTGTCAACTGTGAAGTTTTTTAGCACTTCCCTTAGCAGTGGGCCTTGGTTCGTCCGTGCTCCCCTAGGCGCGCGGATACTCCAGATTCCTGGCTACCACTGCTCACGAGGGCTGAGTTTCCTTCTTCACCAAGCTCTCCTATCGTCAGGTACGTCAAAAACGACTAAATACCAGCACTGATACCACGTGTTAACGCCAAGTACTATCCGGAAACGATTAACTCAGGACCACAGATAGAAGCTAGGCAACACTTAACATCACTTGTGAACCAAGTGAGTAGTTATGCTAGCTTAGCTTGTAGAGCGAGAGTTCTGGTTGAGCAGACTTTTGGCAGCATTACGTAGCGTTTTTACTATCGTCAATACGTAGTAGTAGAATGTACGCATGGAAATCCTGAAATCCATTGATTGAATCAAAAGAAAATACAAGCACACATATAAGAGAGGTCCTAGGCACAGAGAGGAAACACACGAGGCAGTTGTCTAACTATCGTCCAGGTCTTCGCCTTGCTGCCATTGATGTTGAAGGAATTTGGCCCCACCCTCGCCTGGGCAAAATTGACTTCATGGTTGGGTGTGCGGGAGGTGCAGCCGACCTTCTACACGAGTACAAGGGTTGCCTGTACACGAGGTGTACTAGGGAATCCATGCAAGAGTAGCTGAAGAATCCGCGAGTGCATCACAGACGTCCCGAGCACATGTACAAGTGGCGCAGCTGGTGTAGAGGTTTGCGGGTATTCATCTGCGCAGGGTCGCGTCTGACCCTGCGCAACGTTGCGACCAGAATTTTGGCCAGAAATTTGAATGTGCCCTAATTTTGACCAATGAGGAACTAACATTTTCAAATGTCAACTCAGGTGCTCGACGAAGGTGGTCGACGAAAGTCGTCGACCCGCGACGACGAAGGTCGTCGGCCTGCGATGATGAAGGTCATCAACTAGTGATGACGAGGGTCATCATCTTGCAGGGTTACCAGGGACTTTACCTGGTTGACCAAGTTACTCGCTCGACGAGGTTCTGTAGAGGTGCGCGAACGTCGTCGAGGCTGCTGTGGCGAAGTCCTCCACGTGGTCGACGTGGCTCATCAACTGCAACCGTCAGCATGTGGCTGACAACCTACGCAATGTGCGCGACAGTGCACGTTGTGCATAACTGTCTACAAGCACATGTGAAGTAGGTGCTTGCACATGCGCTTACAATCACCTGCGGATGCAATGTGCGTGGATGCTGCGTTGGCAAGCCGCGCGGGTGCAGCATTGGCAGGCCGCCATTCTACAGTGTTGTCAAGTCACACACAAGCTGCATTGGCGGGCCATGGAGATGCTACGTTGGCATGTCGACGACTTTGTCGTGCTGGTGATCGACCTACCTGAGCACTAGCAAACCTTGCATGTGATGTAGTCAATCTTTTCCATTGGTTGTTATCATTCTGAGCTCTGTATTCTCAACTTTTCCTTAGTGAAAGTCTTGCTGTTTTGCCTTGTGAAAACACAAGTCCTAGAGAACACGGACAGAGCTACGATCACTCTAACAACTCGTGCCAAACCTGTAGTCTAGCTCCCACCGTTGTAGATTTAATCTCCTCATGGTGCGGTGAGTGTGGACGGCCCCGCAAAGATACCTTCAGATAGGAACCGACTTATCACTTACCTAAGTCGTTCGTAGGCCGGCAGCCCGTGCGAACTATGGTGCCTACCTTGGCAGAGGCCGGTGGGGTAGAGGATACTTTAGAAGCACGTCTGGCTGATGCAACGAGACGCCATGGAGAAGGCGAGTTTGGGACAATGTTCCCTTTGGAGGTAGTTCTCCTTGGGATCCGTGCAAAGTGGGCAGCGGAACACCCTCCCCAACCTGGAGTGGACGGTGCGTCCACCTCTCCTCGACCGATGCGTAACGACGGCGGCGTCGACAAGGTGGTCGACGGAGGTGATCAAGTCAGTGGCAGCGCAGGCACGAGGCTGATTGGAGTGCTCAAGTCCGTTGATGGTGGTGTCGGTAGGATTCAAGCGCGAGTGCAGCGGTCGACGGCGGCTGCTAGCAACTCACCACAATGAAGCAATGGAAGTCCCTCGGCGACGACGCACGTGATGGCTGGCGGGATCGCGCCGACGTATGGCTACTTCAAGTTCTGACAAGATCACCGTCGCACCGCTACAGGGTCGACGAGACCTCATTACTTGGAGGGAGTCGATAGAACCACAGCTGGAGGTCGCCAGGGCGAAGGGATTTGTCGACGGCATTGTGCCAATTCCGCACGAGGACGATGTCGAGCTGCGCACAGAGTTTCGTGCTACTCACTTGCTCACCTTCATAGTCATCTCGAGGTGCTGCTTGCCGTTGGTGCAGCTGGCCCTCAGGTCCTGTCGAGAGCGGCTGGATGCTGGTCACCAAGCATGGCATTTCATCCTGTCGACGTTCCAGGCAAAGGACGTGTCAAAGGTCCACTGGTGATCCCCGATTGATCCTAGGGAAGGGTTACAGGCTCGTTGTCCTGGGGGGTTATGGGCGCACTGACCCGCTCCTTAACAAGCCCTTTTATCCCAATGGTCTAGTGGTTGGGATTCTGACATGGTATCAGAGCGAAGGTCTCAGGTTCGAATCCCAGTGTGTGCACTTCGGGCATCACAGTGCGGGGGGGGGTGTCAGAGGTCCACTGGTGATCCCCGATTGATCCTAGGGAAGGGTTACAGGCTCGTTGTCCTGGGGGGTTATGGGCGCACTGACCCACTACTTAACAAGCCCTTTTATCCCAATGGTCTAGTGGTTGGGATTCTGACAAGACGACCTATACATCGGACAGCTGGAGGAGAAGATGACACTTATTCGGATGGGTGAGCAGGAGTTGGCGACGGACTACTGCAACCGTGCTCGACGGATCTTGGCTGAAATGCATATGGCGGGCGCCGAATACTCAACGGCGTCCTACATCACCCATATCTTCAAGGGCCTGCTGCGCAGCTACAACCTCATGAAGAGGATGATGATGGTGCCCGGCACGCGTGAGTCCCTCGACGAGGACTCCATCACCAGCTACATCGTTCAAGACGAGGCTATGCAAGAGGCAGAGCAGCCCATGGAGCTCCTTCTGCAGGCGACTTACGCTGCACCGACGAAGCAGAATCGTCAGCAGGGGCAGCGCGGAAAGTCTGGCGGAGGTGGTAGCGGATTTGGGAGGCCGGCCAAGGATGCCGACCGGCGAAATCATCTCGTGACAATGGTCGCGGCAACGGAGGTCGACGGCGCGAGTACTGGGTCTGCGGAAGCGCCGACCACCTTTCTTATGATTGCCTCGACCGAGTAGACACCAACGACAATGACCACAAGGGAGGCCGCGGAAAATCGGCCAACATTTGTCAAAGTCGGGACAAGAAGCCGCGCAAGGAGAAGCAGACGTTGAAGAAGACGTCATCAACGAAGGAGGTCGACTTCTCGAGCGCAAAGGGGCAAGGTGACGGAGAGGCTTCGTGCTCCATGGTCGGCGTGGTGGATCAGTTTGTTTCGCTGGCGCCAGAGGCCGGCGAAGACTTCAAAGCGGCCACTGCAGTTGTGCAGGCGAATCCGATGGTGGTTCTGCTTGACAACGGTTGCTCGCACCACCTCATGGGGATGAAGGAGGCCTTCGTCGACATGGCGCCGAGCGGCAATATGAAGCATGTGCGTGGCTTCAACGTGGCCCTACAGACCGTCGAGGGCTGAGGCACCGTCGCTCTGCAAGTGGAAGCAGAGAAGCAGGTCCTCATCCCCGACGTGCTCTACGTCCCGGGCGTGCAGGCGAACCTGCTGTCAGCCGGCCACCTGAAGGAGAATGGTGTGCAGCTGCTGGACGACGGCGACGAGATGATGCTCATTGACGCGACCGGGGAGGTGCTCGGTCGAGCACGCTATAGCGACCGCGTCCTCTGCACCAACCTTCAACCCTGCTCGACAAAGCTGTCGTCGAAGTTGACAAAGGTGGTGGCCCTGCGAAAGATCGCATCGGCAACGAAGTCGACGCCGCCCAGGTGGCACGCGAGGCTTGCGCATGTTGGCGTCGACACCATCACGAGCTCGGCGAAGCACAAAGTTGCCACCGGCATAAAAATCAAGCCGTCGACAGGGACCGATTTGCCGAGCGTCTCCTGCATAGGTGGAAAACTTGCGAGGCACACCTTCCTCGACAAAGGTTCGGACGCGGAGGAGGACCTGGCCGTTGTACACATTGACCTGTGTGGACCGTTCCGAGTGGCCGCCAATGATGGCAACTTCTACTTCCTTCTGTTGAAGGACCGGAAGACGCGCTACGTATGGGTGAGATTGGTCGCCAAGAAAATCTACGTCGTGGAAGTGCTTAAGCAGTGGCTGCTGGTCGTGGAGGGGCAAACCAAAAACTCGGCGATGATGCTCCGCTCCGACCGCGGAGGCGAGTTCCTGAGGAAGGACTTCACCAACTTCATCAACGGCAAAGGCATCGTCCACGACCTGACCTGTCCGTACACTCCGCAACAGAATGGCATGGCGGAGAGGGAGATGAGGACGATCGTTCAGGCCATGCAGACGATGCTGCTGCACATGGGCGTGCAGCACCACTGGTGGCATCTCGCCCTGCGGCAGGCTGTCTGGGTGCGCAATTGCCTGGAGCGATCGACGCTTGCGCAGGGGACGACACCGCACCAGCTGCTGATGGGCAAGAAGCCTGACCTGGCGCTGGCGAGGGTGTGGGGCTGAATGGTGCAGTTCATGGGCCCCAAGAAGCATCTGTCAAAGGGAGTTGTGTGTTGGCCCCGTCCAAGCTTGAGCGGAGCCGACTTCGTGGTCGGGTGTGAGGGGAGCAGCCAACCTGCAGCATTGGGCGAGCTGGTTGACGAGGAGGTCGACCTGCATGGGGGCCACTGCACGGGCGCCGACTTCAGGAAATTCGACCTGCGAAGGGCGTCAACTTGGTGATGCAGACAAGGGGCAGTCGACTTGGGTGGTCGGCTGACAACTGCGCTGGTCGACATGGAGCTGGTCGACCAGGAGTGCTGGTCGACGTGGAGCTGGTCGACCAGAAGTAATGTCGACCTGGAGCTGGTCGACCAGGGGTGTGGTCGACCTAGTGAGGTCGACTTGGGGTGGTCGTCGACTTGGGAGGTCGACGGGCACATACAAGAGCATCTGGTCGACGTGGTTGCCGGGTTGACCAGGTTAACTGGGTGACGAGGTTCTGCGGAGGACTGCAACGGTCGCCCAAGCAAAGTTGGCGAATCCGCCCTCGGTGGTGGTGTCCCGAGGTCGACATGGCAAATCAGGTGCGGTCGTCAGCACAAGGATGACCTGGTGTGTGCGTTGTGAAGGTAAGAAGAAGAAGAAGAAGAAGAAGAAGAAGAAGAAGAAGAAGAAGAAGAAGAAGAAGAAGAAGAAGAAGAAGAAGAAGAAGAAGAAGAAGAAGAAGAAGAAGAAGAAGAAGAAGAAGAAGAAGAAGAAGAAGAAGAAGAAGAAGAAGAAGAAGAAGAAGAAGAAGAAGAAGAAGAAGAAGAAGAAGAAGAAGAAGAAGAAGAAGAAGAAGAGAAGAAGAAGAAGAAGAAGAAGAAGAAGAAGAAGAAGAAGAAGAAGAAGAAGAAGAAGAAGAAGAAGAAGAAGAAGAAGAAGAAGAAGAAGAAGAAGAAGAAGAAGAAGAAGAAGAAGAAGAAGAAGAAGAAGAAGAAGAAGAAGAAGAAGAAGAAGAAGAAGAAGAAGAAGAAGAAGAAGAAGAAGAAGAAGAAGAAGAAGAAGAAGACGAAGAAGAAGAAGAAGAAGAAGAAGAAGAAGAAGAAGAAGAAGAAGAAGAAGAAGAAGAAGAAGAAGAAGAAGAAGAAGAAGAAGAAGAAGAAGAAGAAGAAGAAGAAGAAGAAGAAGAAGAAGAAGAAGAAGAAGAAGAAGAAGAAGAAGAAGAAGAAGAAGAAGAAGAAGAAGAAGAAGAAGAGAAGAAGAAGAAGAAGAAGAAGAAGAAGAAGAAGAAGAAGAAGAAGAAGAAGAAGAAGAAGAAGAAGAAGAAGAAGAAGAAGAAGAAGAAGAAGAAGAAGAAGAAGAAGAAGAAGAAGAAGAAGAAGAAGAAGGAGAAGAAGAGCCAGAGCCAGAGCCGCCGAGCCGCCCACCCGCCCAGCCGCCGAGCAGCCGAGCCGCCGAGCAGCGGAGCCGCCAAGCAGCTGAGCCGCCGAGCAGCCGAGCCGCCCTGTAGCCGAGCCGCCCGACCGCCGAGCCGCCCTGCAGCCAAGCCGCTCGACCGCCGAGCTGCCCAGCAGCCGAGCCGCCGAGCCGCCGAGCCGCACCGCAGCCGAGGCGCTGCCGCCTGTCGGCCTTCCCAGGACCGCCCCACTTGCCTAGTAAGAGCACCGCCTCTACCACTGCATTGCCCTGCCTCACTGTACTCACTACCTGTCTACTGCTCTCATGGCCTCCCCTAGTGTTCTCACCTTTGACGCTGAGGGTCGGGCAGTTGACTTTGAGGTCTGGGTAGATGATATGCAGCTTTTCCTATAGTGCGATAGGGCAGACAATCTCTCCCTGTTTGACCTCACTTCTTGTGCCTCTCCTGCCCCTGCTGCTGATGCTAACGCCACTGTTCGCTCACATTGGGCCACGCGCAATGCTGCTGCTCGCCTTGCTGTGCGCCGCCACTTACCGACCACTGAGCGTGCACACTTTAGCTAGTACAAGAGTGCTCAGACCTTGTACGACGCTATAGTTGCACGCTACTCTTCCCCTGACACTGCTACACTGAGCCGCCTCATGTCACCGTACCTCTTCCCTGACCTTTCTGCCTTTCCCACAGTTGCTGACCTCATTACGCACCTCCGCACTAGTGACACTCGCTACCGCGCTGCGCTTAATGCTGAGTTCTGCGCCAAGAGCCCCCCCCCCATGTACATCACCCTCTACTACATAGTCACCCGGCTCCCTGACTCTCTCCGCGTAGTCAGGGACCACATCCTCTCAGTTTGCCCCACCACTCTCACCGTTGACCTCCTCGAGAAGGCCCTCCTAGCAGCAGAGAAGAGTATAGTCGCTGTAGGAGCCTCTTGTGGTGACCCTCGCACCCCCGTCTTTGAGGGGTGTTCTCCCTCCCCCCTCTTGCCCTCTGTTGCCTCTGCTGCTACGGCCGACCTCGTTGGTTTCGATTCGGTTGGCCCTGCGTCTGCCCCGAGCGGGAGACGCCGCACCGGCAAGGGCAAGGGGGGCAAGGGCGCTGGAGGGGCTGGCGGGGGCAGTGGAGGTGGTGGTGGAGGCAGTGGAGGGAGTGGGGGTGGTGGTGGGAGTGGTGCCGGGGGTGGCGGCGGCGGCGGCAGCAGTGGAGGCAGCGGAGGCGGCGGTGGTGGCGGAGGGAGCGGAGGCGGCGGAGGTGGCGGAGGAGGCGGAGGTGGAGGAGGCGGCGGAGGCGACGGCGGCGGCGACGGCGGTGGTGGAGCATGTCGCGACTCTACGCAGAGGAGTGGCTCAGGTGGTGGTCCGCGCCAGCAGCAGCGGAGTGGTGTGACCCTGTCCCCTCAGCATCTTCGTGAGTGGTACACTGCGCGCCAGCGCGGTGGGGGTTTTGGTCCCTGCACTTACGTCCTCCGTACCGGTGACCGAGTTTGTGAGCAGTGCGGGGGCCCGCAGTCCACCCAGCGGTGCTTCGATCGCCTGACAGACGCGTGGCGTCGCCAGTTCCCTGAGGCGTGAGAGATCCCTCGCCGGGGAGATCTATCTACGGCGGGGGTTGCCGTCTTTGATCTTGACTATGATGCTATCCTTGCTGCCATGTATTCTGTGACTACTAGTGTTGAGGGTGACTGTTACATGTGTGTACCGCCTGGCCCGGGCATTGAGGCCACTGCTCTAGGTGCTGGTGAGGCTGCTGCTCTAGGTGCTAGTGCGTCTGCTGCCCCAGGTGCCAGTGCGTCTGCTGTCCCAGGTGCCAGTGCGTCTGCTGCCCCAGGTGCTGGTGAGTCCGCTCTCTCAGGTACTACGTCGGCTCAGGCCTTCGACACCTTCACCCTTGACTCGTGTGCGTCCCGCTCCTTCTTTCGAGACCGCACCACTCTTACGCCGCTCAGTCGGCCGGTTGCAGTCTCCCTGGCAGACCCCTCTGGGGGTCCTGTCCTTGCTAGCTTCTCCACTGTCTTACCGTGCCCGGCATCCCCCTCTGGCACCTTGTCAGGTCTCTACTTCCCCTCGTTCTCTACGAACTTGGTGAGTGGAGCGGAACTCAAGGATAGGGGGGTTGACCAATTCACTCCTGCGAGTCAGCGAGTGACCCACCGCACGTGTGCTCGGACAGGCCGACACTTGGCCACGTTCACTCGCCGGCCAGGGTTGAGCCTTTACACCCTTACTACTGAGTCCCCTCCGGCTGCTGAGTTTGGCCAGGTAGCTGCATCGAGTCAGGTGTTTGCTGCAGCGTCCAGGTCTGGTCCTGAGTCTGCTCCCTGCTCGTGTCGTCTCCTGTCTCACCAGACTCTCCTCTGGCACCACCGCCTTGGTCACCCCTCCCTGCCTCGTCTCCAAGGCATGGCCTCCCGTGTCCTTGTCTCTGGTCTCCCTCGGTCTCTCCCTCCCCTACCTCCGGGGCCTGGCCCTACCTGCGTCCCCTGCGTCGAGAGGCGACAGCGCGCCGCCCCTCACTCCTCCGAGTTTCCTCCGACAGAGGCTCCGCTACAGACCCTCCACATGGACGTGTGGGGCCCCGCCCGCGTCCGTGGACAGGTGCACGAGCGCTACTTCCTGTTGGTGGTTGACGACTACTCGCGTTACACCACAGTCTTCCCCTTGCGCAGCAAGGGTGACATTACTGAGGTGTTGATCGACTGGATCCGCGCAGCTCGTCTCCAGCTCAGAGAGAGTTTCGGCTCGGACTTTCCTGTTCTGCGTTTGCACTCTGACAGAGGCGGGGAGTTTTCCTCTGCCCGTCTGGGAGCCTTCTGTCGTGCACAGGGCATCCGCCAGACCTTCACGCTTCCGGCCTCTCCACAGCAAAATGGGATTGCTGAGCGCCGCATTGGCATGGTCATGGATGTCGCTCGTACGTCCATGATGCATGAGGCGGCCCCCCATTTTCTGTGGCAGTTTGCGGTTCAGTACCTCGCGCATCAGCTCAACCTTCAGCCCCGGGTCTCCTTGCCAGAGACCTCCCCTGCCTTACGGTGGACCGGGAAGGTTGGCGATGCGTCTGCGTTTCGGGTCTGGGGATCTCGGGCGTTTGTCCGCGACTTGTCTGCGGACAAGCTGTCCCCCCGTGCTGTTCCGTGCGTCTTCCTTGGCTTCCCCCCTGACGCGCCTGAGTGGCATTTTTACCACCCCACCTCGCGCCGTGTTCTGTCCTCCCAGGACGTCACCTTTGACGAGTCGGTACCTTACTACCGTCTCTTCCCCTACCGCACTGCGCCCCTCCCCTCGCCGTCGCTCTTCCTTGCACCAGGTCCTCCCCCGGTAGATCCCATCCCCCCTCAGGGTCCTGCCCCGTCAGGTGTGTCCCAGGTAGACGCAGTCGAGCCTGTCGAGGTAGCTGTTGACTCTGGTGCTGCTAGAGGTGCTGAGCCTGCGGGTGCCGGGTCTGGGGGTGCTGAGACTAGGGGTGCTGAGCCTGGGGGTGCGGAGTCTGGGGGTGCTGAGACTGGGGGTGCTGAGTCTGGGGGTGCTGAGCCTGGGGGTGCTGGGTCTGGGAGTGCGGAGCCTGGAGGTGCGGAGCCTGGGGGTGCCGAGCCTGGGGGCGCTAGGTCTGCTCGTGTGGCCGCCGGCGGTGCTTCGTCGAAGCGGGAGCCACTCTCTCCACAGGAGCTGCGCGAGTGGTTTGCCCGCCGCTAGAGATGCGCTGCTGAGACTGGGGGTGCTGCTGAGGCTACTGCAGATTGTCCTGCTGGAGTTGCTGGCGGTACTAGTGCTGCTGGAGCTGGAGCTGCTGGGGGTGTTGGCGCTGGTGTTTCTACTGGCGCTGGTGCGGTTGGGGGTGCTGCTGAGGCTGCTGGAGCTGACGGTCCTACTGGAGTTGGTGCTGCTGGAGCTGGAGCTAATGGGGGTGTTGGCGCTGGCGGTGCTGCTGGCGCTGGTGCTTCTGAGGGTGCTGGAGTTGGCGCTGCTGGAGCTGGAGGTGCTGCAGGCGCTGGTGCTGCCGCTTGGGGTAATGGTGCCATCCCTGCTGGTTCAGGAGGCGCTGAGCGGCCGAGGCCGTACTTCGTTCCGCTCCTGGAGCAGGTTCTTGGTCTCCCGCCCTCTCTTGTTCCTCCTCCTTCCTTAGAGTGTCCATAGCCTGTCCAGTCGCAGTCACAGTTACAGCCCACCTCCCCTCTATCTGCTCCTTCTCCCTACACTGGTCCTACTGGAGGTCTTGCTGAGCGTCGTGTGCCTGCGTCTCGTCCTGCGTCGCCTGTTCGTACTGCTCGCACTAGTGGTCGTACTGGGCGTCCGCGTCCTCTTGCGGTCCCCGACACACACCAGATGGCGCTGCGTCCTTCCACTGCTCCTCTACGTGTCCTGTTGCCGTCTCCTCCAGAGTCCTCTCTTCCTACTCTTGCTGACCCGGAGTTTGACTCCCTTCGTGCTGCTAGTCCTTCGGTCACGCGTCTCCTTGCTACTATTGTCACTGACCCTTCCTTTGAGTCCACTGCTGCGTCTGCCCTAGTTGCTGAGCTTGTCGACTTCGCTGCTCGCTGTCGTCTAGACTACGCTACCAGTCTCGTTGCTGAGTCTGCGTTTGTCTGTCCTCCGTCCTTCGGGGGTGAGTGTGCTCTTAGCACGGACGTCCTTGAGGACAGGCAGGAGGAGTTGTTGTGCTTTGCTGCTGCTTTGCCCTAACTCGTGTCCATGCTGATTGCCCCTGAGGGAGACCCGGATGCACCAGACAACCCGACTCCTCGATCGTACGTTGAGGCGATCGAGGGTCCCTACTCCTCTCAGTGGAAGTCAGCCATGGATGCAGAGATGGCTTCCTGGAAGTCCACTGGCACCTACGTCGACGAGGTTCCCCCACTTGGGGCGAACATCGTCAGTGGCATGTGGATTTTCAAGGTGAAGCGGCCTCCGGGTTCTCCGCCTGTCTTCAAGGCGCGTTACGTGGCTCGAGGCTTCAGTCAGCGGCAGGGAGTTGACTACTTCCAGACCTTCTCTCCCACCCCGAAGATGACCACTCTTCGGGTGCTGCTGCACATAGCCGCTCTGCGCGACTACGAGCTTCACTCTCTTGACTTCAGCACAGCTTTCCTGCAGGGCAGCCTGCACGAGGAGATCTGGCTGCGCCGCCCACCTGGCTTCACTGGGTCGTTTCCCCCTGGTACCCAGTGGAGCCTCCGGCGGCCAGTCTACGGTCTCAGCCAGGCACCCCGTGAGTGGCACAACACACTCAGGACTACACTTGCGGCTCTTGGGTTTGCTCCTTCTACACCTCTTTGCCGCCGTTCTACATCCTCGTGTACGTCGACGACTTGGTCTTTGCCACTGCTGACACTGCTGGACTCGCCCACGTGAAGTCGGAGCTACAGAAGAGACCCACGTGCACAGACCTGGGTGAACTGCGCAGCTACCTTGGCTTGCAGATCACCCGGGACAGAGCACAGCCCACCATTACCCTGACTCAGTCACACATGGTGCAGCAGGTCCTTCAGCGTTTCGGCTTCACGTACTCCTCGCCTCAAGCCACTCCTCTGTCTACTCACCACTCGCTCTCAGCTCTGCCTTCGGATGAGTCCGTAGAGCCGAGTGGCCCGTACCTAGAGCTTGTTGGCTGCCTCATGTACCTGATGACCTGCACACGACCTGACCTTGCATACCCTCTTAGCATCTTGGCACGCTATGTTGCTCCTGGGAGACACCGACCAGAGCACATGGCTGCAGCGAAGAGGGTGTTGCGCTATGTGTGCAGTACATTGGGCATGGGGCCAGTGCTTGGAGGGCGGAGTCCAGTGGTCCTCACAGGTCACGCTGACGCTTCTTGGGCTGACGACCAGGCTCTGCAGCGGTCGTCACAGGGTTACACTTTCAGCCTTGGCTCCGGCTCTGTTTCGTGGCGGTCTACCCGCTCGTCCTTTGTTCTCAGCTCCAGCTGTGAGGCTGAGATCTACACAGGGGCCAGTGCTTGGAGGGCGACGTCGAGTGGTCCTCACAGGTCACGCTGACGCTTCTTGGGCTGACGACCAGCCGGCACAGTGGTCGTCACAGGGTTACACCTTCAGCCTTGGCTCCGGCTCTGTTTTGTGGCGGTCTACCCGCTCGTCTTCTGTTCTCACCTCCAGCTGTAAGGCTGAGATCTACGCGGGGGCCATGGCTGCAGAGGAGCTACGCTGGCTCACCTACCTGCTGACTGACCTAGGAGAGCCGCCTCGTTCTCCTCCAGTTCTGTACGTAGACAACAAGGCCATGCTGGCCTTGTGTCGGGAGCACAGACTGGAGCACAGAACGAAGCACATTGCTCTCCGCTACTTCCTGGCTCGTGAGCTGCAGCAGCGTGGTCAGCTCCGCCTCACCTACGTGGCCTCTGAGGCCAACACTGTTGATATCTTCACCAAGGCCCTTCCGCCTTGTGATCATCAGCGCTTCTGTACTTTGCTAGGTCTTGTGCCTACCTAGCCTCACTTGCTCACTTCTTGATCTTGTTCGTACTGTACTCTTTCTATACCTGCACTTGCTTGTTTACCTTTATATATATGATCTTGCATGTGAACTGGCCTTGTGGCCTTGCTCTTGT